GTAAGTTTTTTAATGTTTATCTTCGTTGGACTTTAATAGTGCCTACTCTGTGTTCCCTTTTTGCGCTTTTTGTACCAGCACATTAAGTAGTCTCGTTCTGTAGATGACTGATTTCGTCATTGGCGACAATTTCACATTCAGTATCAGGGTTTACTCTGCATTTTGATCAAAGCTTCCGGATGACGTGGATGTGCTGTGGCGGGCCGGAACCGTTCTATCATAACATTTTCCTAACGGCATGCATTCATGGTCCCATAAAGACAGATGCTCTTATATATAGGCGTTAGCAGTATTTCGCTCACGATTCTCATCCGCACAGCTGCATACGGATGTGCACCGGCTAGGCTACTGTGAGAATGCTCCAAGTCATACATAAGCGGAGGCGGAGATCAGAGTTTGCAATCCAGACGCCTGAATCGCTACACAACTGATACGTTTTTAGACTAACTGAAAGTCTTTACACGCATACGCCAATGCCACAAGAATCAGCTCCGATGTGAAATACTATTTCTCTTCCTCACCAGGTCCCAGCTACCATTCGCCTCCAACCGTGTTAACTATCAAGAACAGCATTGAATTCTCGATGTATGTTGTCCATACATGGCGCTTTCATTGCTGCATTTCCCATGGCTTCTTGCTACGCTGCTGGCACTTATCGGAGTCCTTATGAACTGCAATATTCGCTTAAACCTCAGACTGTGGACTGCTCCCAACTTTTGTGGATCTATTTATGTGATCGATGTTTGGATGACTACTTAGCGCTGATTGTCCCTTCTACATAAAGTTCATCCTTTTTTGGTATGTCCACGTTGACAACTTCCTCGCCTCATCCGCTTTTATTATTGCGAGACCAGTGGATATCGCATTTAGAGCCAGCAGGTAGCAGCTTACAAATTGATCGCTTCGGCTCTTTCACTTCACAAACGCGAAAATCTCCTGACTCAAACTCAACAATCAGTGATGACTTTGTCGACTTATTTGGGACGCTTTGATTTTCGCACCGGGATCGATTCATCTTACCGTCTAATATTCGCATTTCAGGCTCTCCGACACTGTGTGTCCGCATTGGCGGCGCATTCCGCTTCCTTGTTTGCATATGACCAGGTGTCGGTATCGAATTCGATGTGCACCGCTCTTACCGAACTCGACACTATGAATTGTGGCGTGGGAAAGGTGACATCAAAGTCTGATGGGCTCCACCCCTCTGATTTTCAGGCTCGCATCGTCCGTCATTTCTCCAGCTGTGACTGACGTGTTCAACAGGTCGCTGTCCAAATGTTCGTTGCCGATTGATCTGAAATACTCGAAAAGTGGTAATCTCAGCAAACTAGACAATTACGGGCCAATTTGTTTGGCAGCTATTTTGGCCAAGATTGCTAAGATCGTGAAAAAGAGTTTGGTGCAGCTTTCCGGTCACAAGGATATTCGGACGCCCGTACGGCACGGTTTCATACCAGGTCGTCCACGCATCACCAACCTGCTCGTGATGAGGCGTGAATGGTTGCCAGCAGTGAATCGGAGAAAGTCTGTCGACACTGTCTACATAGATTTAGCAAAGCGTTCGATAAGGTGAACCATGAGGTTTTCACGCGCGATCTGAGTGTTTGCGGCTCACTGCACCAATGAATCCGCGAGTTTCTTGTTGAACGAAAGTGGAGCATTCAAGTGGATTGCCACCTGACCGACAAGTGGCGTACCCCAAGGCACGATGCTGCGGCCCACATTGTCCCTGCTTTATGTCAACGTACGGCTTCAGATTCTCCGTGTGCCCTGTTTGCAGAAGACCTAAAGGTGTGGAGTGATAAGTACTTCGACAACTGCGGTCTACGTCAGCAATACCCTAACCGCTTTCCATATGCTCTGTGTTGATCCCCCTTCCGATCAACCCATTCAAGCCAGTATTCATTAGCCTGGGGAAGAGTGTTGGCGACCAACTGCTACATCTCCCACCTTCCGTGAAAGACGTAGGTGTGCTTTCACGTGATCCGAACTTTTTGAACACGAATAAGTATATATACATATATATATGTATGTATGTATATATATATATATATATATATAGTATTTTTCGGACTTCAGGGCACACTTAAAATTTTTATATTTACCAAAAAATTAACAGTGTGCCTTATGTATGAATGGTTTTGCTGAGGCCTAGTGACGAACTAATTTCTATGTTCACACTGCGCTGAAATATCCGTCAAAATGTTTTATTACCACTTTGATTGTCGTAGCATAATCGTTAGTCAGGAACCTCGTGGAGTCAGCTTTCTATATTGTCTAATCAGGCTTGTTTTGGGGTGGCGAAACCCTACATGAGCCAGCTGATTCGCAGATGAAGAATTTGACGGATTTGTAGAGGAGGAGTATATTTTCCTGTGTGTTACAAGTGTAAATTATTGACTATTATTCTTAATGCGTTGAATTAACTCTAACCTATCCGAATATTTTGTTTCGCTTTATGTGCCTTATATCTGAAATAAGATTCGTTCACTGATACTGCATTTTATAATCCGAAAAATACTATACATTATATATATATATATATATATATATATATATATGCGTTTGCCTGCGTGATGAGTATTGCATTTCAGGGTTAGATGTTGATTAAGCTCCCCGGTGTGGCTGCGCCTGATGTGAATGTTGACAAGGTGCCTACCTGTCTAATGCCCTCCACCTCGTCATATTGGCTTCAGGAGACAGTTGCTGGAGGGGGCGGGATGCACCGTCCTCGTGACGCTGCTAGCTTCAAATATTAGAACGGGGTACGGCCCAGCCACCGCCTTGGGTATGTCTGGTACGCATGGTTTCCCATCAAAATCCATGGGAATCAAAGGAAGGTCAACTTGTCGTAGAAAGAAAACCGAGCACAGCACAGAAGTCCAAGGTTTCGTTAGAAAGCACGCTACTACCCGGTTACTCAAGCCTAACTAGGGTGTTGAGTGGGGAACGCCATCTCGAGCCTTTGGCTGAGTACCGTACCCGCAAGGCAGCAAAGCGGATTATGGGAATGTCGCCCATTGGGATCCGGGGTCTGATCGCTCAGTTCATACTTCTTTGGTTTATTCGGTTGCCATTAAGGAGCCCAATCCTACCCACAGTTTCGTGTCACCTTGCTGGAATAATGCAATGCTCCACCAGAGTGAAGCAAGGCACAGTACTTTATTTGGGGTCGAGTCACATCCGTTACGTTGTAGTGTTAAACAGACATTTGTGGCTTTTCTGAGGCCAACGCTTTCCAGGCAAAATTCCCACCACGTCGTGCAACGTGTCCGGAAACGCTACACCGAAACGGACTGCATATTCTATGGACGCTCAAACGCAGCTTCTTCACCTGGTTTGAAGAGGCTTATACTCGTGAGTTCAGAGAGGTTTGGAAACAATCGGTTGGTATGATAGGCTTATACTCGCCTTCATCATCATAAGTCCAATACTAGAGTGCGGCTCGCCCGCCTATTGCCTGACCATTCGTGGTGAGGCGTAGAAAATCGAACGTGCCCAACACGTTACCAGGCTCATTCCCAGTTGGCCAGGCTTATTTTACGAAGACAGACGAGTCTGGAACTGTACACCCTTCGGCACAACAGCTAAGGTGTTTTCCACCTCTAGCTACTGTGAGTAATGTATGAACTGTACACACACGGGTGCGTTTCCTCATCATGACCTGCCGCATTATGCATCTCGGTGACTCTTATATTAAGGCCAGTGCTCCACTCGCAATTACCTTGTGGCGCATGCGAACACCACTACAAGCTTGTAATTCCCGTCTGAAGCGTGTTCCCATCCCCTGAGCTTTGAACGGCGAGTTTCCCATGTTATGAACAGTTCACCGGAGCAGATTGTGAGGGCAAACCCGGTGCAACAGTTCAAAACAATGTTGGGTCTACATTTCTCCAGTGTCAGATTCCGAGAGCGATTACCCCATAACAATGGTACCTCTCACATTTGTGAGTCCCAATTTACTGTGAGTTCTACGTTATGTTTTACAACATCATGTGAGAACTTAAAAATAATCGGTGTGTTGACAGGCCATCTATGTTAAAAGAAACGTTTTCGATCGCATTTCGATGAAGTTGTACACATACCATTTGCTACTTGTTCCTATAATACAATATTCAGTATTCACCCATCCTAAGATTCTATCAGTCAAGTTCTTTGTCCTCTCGTATGCACAACTCTTCTCATTCTCGCTTGCCGGTCCGGTGCCAAGTACGTTCAAGCCGATTATAAGCTTCTTTTATTCACCCATGAATTAATGCAGCATAGTTTAACGATAATCCACAGATAGCAGAACTCATCTAGATGGGCACAGAGTCGGCTGTTGACTGAATGGGTTGCAGCCTATTTATAGTGGCGCAACGAGAGGCACACATAGACAGGAAGTTTGAGAATTGGAATGGTCCAGTTCACACAAGTTGCAAGTGAACGAAACTCTGTTGAAGGGCGCGACGCGCACTGTGCTGCGCTGCCGCTGTACCAATGGACCTGAAAACTCAAGGCCACAGCACGCAATCAAACGGCGAATGGGACACAGGACATGCTTGGTCACGGCCGGAGATTGGCGTGCTTGATTCAGGCATGTCGTTCATGCGTGAACACCTGTTCCTTTTGGTCCTCCCCTCTGGCTGTCTTGACAGCGCCTTGGGAGTTAGATCAGTGGCCTTCCTTAACGAACGTCAAAATTCTCCCTTACTGGCCAACCATGTCCCAACACCCACTCGACTTTCTGAGTCGTCTTTTACACACACACTTCACCGAAGTACTTGGTAACATTGACCACGTTTCTTGCTGCAGCTTCCGACCTGATTCCTCCGTGTAGACTTGTTTGCTGCTTCGATTTTCTAAGGTCCTTTATGCTTGGCTCCGTATTATTGTTTGGAATCGCCATCTCTGGGTTTTACACTGACACCATTTCCATATTTTATTTCTTATCAGTCAGAAACGTTGCTTGTTCTTTCCCGTGTTGTGTAATCCGATCGCCCATCGTTTTTTGTTGTTAGATGCGGAAGCAGCATAGAATCCATCTGTTTGGTTTTCGCATGAATTGATGCAGATGCCAATTTTGCCAATTAGGTAAGCTGCGTTAAATCTCTTCATTTATTTTGCCGTTTGAAAAATAAGACGCAAATTTGACCATTACTCAACTTAATTGCCTTAGATGATCGAAACACCTCACTTAAATCATTACCTAATGATTGACTGACTGTAGGGAAGCATTTTCGGGAAATCCGCCGAGAACATGCTCAGTTACATCCTGAACAGCATTGCATGATCGTTTCGTCCTAAAACCCGGTTCTTGTAACGCGCAGGGACTTCACCCACCAAGCCGTGGGTGCCATTGGCAAATTCACCTTTATCAATCTGCACGTCAGGTGTAAGTGAAAAACCTACTAGCTGTTGCGCCCCACCCATGTGGTAGCGAGAAATGCATCAAACGGCAAAGGCAAAAAGAAAATAACGACATGCATCGACAAAGAAAGTGTTTTGAAATGAAGCTAAGCGGGAAGAGAAACTCACAATCCACTAAGATGGGTTCTTCGTATTATCAATAAGTGTATCCAGTCAAACGTGTTCATTAGCTTTCCGAAACTGCGGAATCGGGAAGCTACAATTGAAGTCAAGTTTGAAGTGATGGCCTTCATTCCTCTTGGTAAGTGCATCAGTTGGCTTCTCTACATCTTCCATCCTTTTCGCGGTCGCACATAAAACGCACTCCGCGGGAGTCCCTGTAGTGGCATGAGTAACACATGGCCCAGTCATTGGAGCCCGGTACGTAAGATTATTATGCTTAGCGGTTCACTTCCCCTTCCTGCACCTAATACAAGACGCCGAAAGGCTTATTGCTCACATGGTTCCCCCCCCCCCCCTCCTAGATGCTAGCCAAACTGCCACGTCAGGTTATCAGACGAACTAGCTTCTATATCTTTGTCGATTTGATGGACTACGTTTCATAACCGAACGGGAGGATTGGACGTATAGCTGCAGTGTAGACTACCACTCAGCGCGAGTGATGTCACGCTTGCACCACGAGTAGCGAAGATTAGTAAAAGTGCCTCGAGCTTTTGCTCTACGGTTTATAACTTCGTTTTCTATTCCTCAGGTACTGTTATAGCTTCTTAAGTGGTTTTTCGAGTGACTTTAGCCGATCTCCACCAGGAGTCAGCGCAGAGGTGTTCTCTGCTAATCTTGGAGAAATGCTTTGCATTTTAACGGTGAAAATCACAGTCATTGCTAATTTGTCCAGTGTTGTTTGATACGTTTGTGAGCTGTCACGAATTACAGCAATATCGTCTGCATAATCCAAGTCATCATCTGGAACTTGTTTTCGTTAATTGTAGTGCCCATGACTTCGTCAGTGACGAAAAAGGAAGAGATTACCGTGGGCATCTCTGTGTCATACGGCTGTGGCAACTTACCATTAACCCTCGTTCTGTCCTAACTGCGCGCATAAAGTGATCAGCTAATGTTCACGTATTACTCGCGCACATCGATCCACCTAACCGAAGGCCCTTAAATCTCGAGAAACATGTCCATAGTGGGTCACCAATATAAGTGGCAGTGCTCCATCAATTGACGCTAGGTAATGTGGTCCACGCCGCTCCGACTTTGAGTACACCCAATTTACTCCCAACCACATTGCTGTTCAGCGGCGCCAGTCAGTCTATTGAGAACGACAGTCAACTAATTTATGAGCGATGCGGATCAGACCAATTCCTCCATCACTGCCGCATTCCAAACATGACTGCTGGTTGAAGATTGGGACAATAACGGGGCATTTCAATTCGGTCGGGACATCTTCCACAGTTTCATTGACAGTTCGTGTAAATCTTCCACAAGACAGTCCGCCTTATTCGAAGAGGACTGGAGTAAGTTTATCTGTCCTGCGGTTTTATTCAACTTGGGCATACGACCTATGCGCGAGCAGTTGGATCCAAAGGGACGGCCCAAGAAGCAAGGTGATCACTGGCCGGCAGCGAATCCGGTCGTTTCAGCCGATTCTGTTGCTTTCCAAATTGTTCAGCCCAGTGCTGCAAGCATTTTGACAGGTTGTGGATGACCTGTCCACTCGTATGGGAGGTGGTCTCTTTAACACCAGGTTTGAGACGAGATAACCTCCGATGGTTTCTCTCTCCGATTAACGATAAGGATACCAGGCTCAGCGGTCTCCCTTCAGACTAGCAAGCAGTTTTACCCTGAGGACTTCGCGAGTCTCGTGTTCGTTCCAAGCCGGAATTTGTCGATGAGCATTCCTAGTTTCCAGAGGCTGTCTAGCGATTCAATGTTTAGGTTAGCAATAGGATTTGCCACATAAAGGCAAACCCCCTGGCGGCGGACGGCTGCAAATAACGCCTCACGAACATGTGACCAGTGACCCTTAACTATCTCCATTGAGCGTTTACACAGCCCAGATACTAGTGCACTTCGCTACTCAGTCAATATGTATAGCTTCGCCTGTCGTCGGTTGTCTTTTCGCTCACAGCATCACCGCAGGCGTCTGCCAAAACGTGCTAGCAGATTGGCGCTTACAAGTGCATTATCGGAATCCACGTTCGTGCTGTAAGCCAATGGGCAGTTTTGAACAGCCTCTCCAACGGTATTAGATCGCAGTGTGGTCAGTTTGCCTCAATGAATCTTGCAGGCAGGTTTCTAGCATACAGCATATCTCGACTGAGAGGGTACTGTCGACCGATCTGCGACGAAATGCGCATGTTGAGGCATACTAGGAGCGGATGAACTACGGTTTTCTGCTTAGTTGGACGGCACTTGGCCGTTGGACTGGAGCGACGCTGTACGACTGCGTGTGGGAAGAAACTAGAGGACAGATGACGATTCAAGTAGGATGAAGAGCTAAGAAGTGCGAGTTAAAAATGCGGAGAAAATAAGCTTGACTAGGGATGGTCGGAATATAAAAGCATAAGGGTGCAATTTGTATACGAGAATGCGTGAGCATGCACGACGCAGCAGGTACTGTCTCTTTGAATGTTCTCCGTTACGGCCAGAGCGGAATATCGCCTAGTTGTCCGGGCTTGGACCGGTGAATGGTTAGGATTGGTTAAAAAGCTTGACTGCAAGGCAACCGGCTTTTAGCAATGGGGTCTGTTTTAAGGAATAAGGAGCCACCTTCGCTTTAACCCCAATCCCAAAGACCGGAAAATCTCGTCTGGCCTGTAACCGTTTACCAGTCTAGTCCAGGCTAATTGTGATAGATTCTGCTATACAGCATGACTCGTTCCCCATTGCCGCGCTGTGGATACTACCTACCTCTTGATTTACGGCCAGTCACTATGCTACCAACTATCGATCACCGTCGCAAACTGCTTACTTTTGGAAAGTAGTGGTTTAGCTTTTGATTGAAACTAACCCCACTTTTTACTGAGATCAAGATACTTCTTATACCTTCATTGCCATTCACACTAGTGCGCAACGGTCCGAGTAGAGGCCATAGCAGATCAAGTGAGCTGAAAAACACCTATTATTGCCTTTCTGTGTGATATGTGAACGGCTCGCCACAGCATAACAGCGGAACCGAAAGCGCGAGATCACGGCAATCGAACGGAAGGGTATATTGGTATAGAGCGCAACAAAAACAAACAGGTAACCAAGTATCGCTACGTCATCCCCCAATCAAGTGTAAGTCCTCGACGCACCAAGTGGACTACTCTATGACTAATAGCTAAGTTGTCCTGGCCACCATGGTATTGGTATGAAAGCGCATGTTGATGGGCGATCGTAGCAATTGTTAAGACAAGACCAAAGGGCGATGAGTTAGGATATGTGAAGCAGGCAGTTGCGCTTTCGCATGACTCAGTCTGTTCGACTGCGATTACTAAATTTTCGGATGACTCCGCATTCCCTCGACCAACAGTGGGATACGAAACGGAAAAGGACTAGGAAAGTGAGTGCATCTTAATTGCACAATGGCTGCTGATGCTGGGCGCACTGCGATTCGGAGTGAGTCGGTTTCTATTGATGAACACACTTCGGCAGACGGTGCTAAAATGTCTGTGCTAAACCTTGATGAGACACAACATGACAAGAGCAGAAACAAAACATCCTTCTTGCGGTGCAACGTACCCATGCCTTCTTTGAGCAGTTCCCACGGTTGAATTGGTCGCTGTACGGCGCAGTTTGTGCACAGTTGACACACATGGCTGTACCGTACAATCAGAGAGGATGGAGGAATCGGAAGCACTCAGTATAAGTACAGGGGATTGACTCGGATTGTCCCTGTATAGGGACGCACAGAGAAAGAGGCAGGTTGGATTGTGCAACAACTGTATTGAAGTCGCTTAATGATGAGACATCCTATGGGGGGTAGGGAGCACATATTTTTCGAGCCTCAGACAGCTGCTGAAACCGAAAGTATTGCCGCTGACTCTGGGGAGCAAGATTGCGAGGCAAACGAGCTGCAAGCTGTGGTGTCGTTTAGGGGTGTGGAAGGAATTTTCCGGATAACGGTAGCCGTGCGCATAGTGGTGGCGGATGCCCAAAGGTCAGTCTGCTGTGGCTGATGACGATGTTGGACAAGCATCGATCTTCGAATGCATTGCGAAAGTGCACTATTTAGCTCATGCTGAGTGCTTTAGATGCCTGTGTTGAGTGACATCAGTGCACTGGCTCCCATGAATGTGTGTCGAAACTACGTTTTGCTGGGCATTGGCGGACGGGAAAAACCTGATAGTTACTTCCTCTTCCGATGCACCAGAAGGAAGACTGATAGCTGTCATCATTTCACGTATTTTAGTGTCCAAGTAGGAAAGGACATAGATACCCCGCATCTCTTTAGGTGCATGACAGAGAAAAATGCCCATAGACTGCCTACAGGCTGATAAATCAGTTCCGATATAGAAAAAAGGGTGAGGAGGGTTGCATCGATCAGTGGAGTAGGCGGGTGATGTAATTGCTCACGACACCATAAATGTAGTGCGCAATGATACTAGTGGAGGCCGTAGTAGATCCGGTGAGTTGAAAAAGTGGAATAATGTTACCTGTCTTTTTGATATGCGAACGGTTCACCACAGCACAGCAGCCGAATCGAGTGAGCGAGATCATGGCAAGCGCACGGGAGGGTATCTTGGTAGAGTGCAACAAATACAAACTGGTAACCAGATATCGAAGTGTCGCTACAACACTAGACCATTTTAGTCCTAGTGTCTTTCTTTTTGGATGTTCAGATGGCCTCTAAAACGTGACTACAGGTGATAACAATCCGCGGGTCGCAGTCTCAATCCGATTTGCCTGGAGCACGAACGTCACAGGTTGTGGCCTTTGAAAAGGTCACCCTTACTCATTGGTTTACTGCTACCCATCGCAAGCAGTTGCCATTTAGACTCAACGGTCACATTCCTTAATTGGATATGGACCCCACTGCATTGTGGTTAGAGCCTAAATGTTTCGAGCGAATTACTTCAATCAAACCTCCGTTTACCCACCACCTGGTGAGCTATGCTGTTCGGTAAAAGGCTAGAAGTATGACACCTCCAACGACGCCTGTCCTGGAATAAGCATCAAAACAGAATCATATGTCCACAGACCCTCGCCGATATTCCTTCCTGGTTGTCCTTTTCTTTGCAGCTCTTCTTCCTCGGCTGATGTGCAAGGAACTACCGCGGACTTCACGCCCGTTACATGCGTTGCACTTAACTTATTCTTCAAACCAGAAGTCTTGTTACCTTGGTTACATCATCACTCCAAGTATTACCTTCAGTAGACGCACCAAGGGTACTCCACTCGAGTGGCTACCGACACAACCGCGTGTGTGCTGTTTGATTGCGAACCACCATACGAGGAAAAATAACAGCAGAACGCCGGTAGACTGCATTAATAAGAGCTACTTATGAGGGGAAAATATTAACACGTCGCTTGCTGCTTTTTCTCGATTTCTTTGTCACGTATTCACCGTTGCCTTCGCAAGAATGACTCCAGAAACTGGCTGATCATTAGCTAATAAGTTCGTCACTGTTTTCAACTTGTTGCTTGTCTTTGTATACTGCATACTAAGTATGGCCATATATCCTATCCGTAATATCTGTTTGTGGTTTTGCCACTTTTCTTATCCCAGTAGGTCTAATTACTCTCACTTTTCTTTCAGTGCGTCCAAAGTTCACGGACTACTTTGATATGGAAGCACAAGCACGGGTTCCCTTGTGTTCGTCGATCCTCTCTGCTATTGCCAAGTCTGTCAATTTCTTTTTGTCTGCTCAGTTTTCCTGATCACCGTTCATTCCTGATAACTACATCATATGGACGATTTTTTCTCCGGCACATTGCAGGTTTATCCCTTCCATTGGACCACTTCTCCTTGTTCTGTGATGCTTGTAGTGCTGGGATGTATAAAATTTAAGTCAGGTCAAAACAGGCTTTATGCACTAGCACTACGGATGTAATGAGATTTGACCTTAGTCTAAGGTTACAAGTAAAATGCCGAGGTAATACATGTATCAGCGTCACTTAAGCAAACGTCAGCTTGTGATGCCGATAGCTTTCTTTGAATCCACAAGCAAAATATAATTATGCTAAGGTGCAGCGAGAGGAAAGAGTATGCTGTGTTTCGAGTTCGTAGACAAAGGACAAAGAGTTTTTGGTTATTCCTCGTATATGGGATGGGAAGGATCGTTTAGAACCCTTGAACAAAAGTTGTCACGCGTCGAAATGCTTAGCCTACAAGAGATTGGTCAGTTCACTCCACCTGGAGATGTCTTTCACGTCTAACGGGTATGGAGATTGTTAAACATCCATTACCTCGACTCTGCAGGCCATTTGTTCGACTGCTTCTGCGGTTTTCAACGAGATTTGTTTGTGAAATGCAGGCTCCTCACTGATTATCTCAGCTTTCACCTCTATCTATGCTGTCCGGTCGGAGCCATCTAGTTGCAACTATACCGATCCTCCTCGCCATTACTCAAAATAATGTGCACATGAATTCAAAATGAGTGCCCATGTCAAACGCATCTTTGCGGCAATAAAGGTTGGGATTTTTACAAATCAAGTGTTTGTACGCCGAAGCTGTTTTATGCAGCCGAAACTGCCAGGATCTGTGGGGGAATCTCCGTTACACCACTTTCCTTTGCACATGAAGACCGTAGAGCATGCACCAACATGATCACAGTTTTTCCAACTAAGCAAAATGCTGCTCAAGCGTAATTACAATGCGTAATTATGCTTTTAGTTCCGCGTTTCTGTTAATGCTCCTTACACTAATTTTTCCTTCCTTATCTCGTGGTATGGAACGGATCGTAGGCACACGTCGTCATGCGTCTCACTGCTTGTTACGTGCATTCCACAAGCTGCCACAGGCCGCGTTCTTTTTTTTGCAAACATCCGCTTAAGAAATACAGAATCTCTTCCAATGCTTCACTGTGATTCAAAGGCCCGGTGGTGGCAAGAACGCAGCGGCACATTTGGAGTTTTGCGATAATATATTACACTCAACTCAAAATTGGATTCGTCATCATCATCATTATACACGTTAGCTAGAAGTGTAAAACATCTCAGCTACTGTGCGCAATAACTAAAGAAAAAACAAGAAAAATGCAAAAGTTGCTTGCCAGCAAAGTTACCAACAACGGATAGGCATTGCTAAGGCAAATTACCAGCCGGATACTAGGCAACAAACATTTATTATTTAAATTATATTATGCTCCGAAGTGGATCCTGATTGGAGGGGGAGAATAAAAGGAATGAGGAAGGACAATGTAACACAACTGGTAAAACACTGAGTTCGGCTGCTATCCATGTCAGCAAGCTTATCTAGCCAAACGTGTTCGTCGGCTTTTGGACCCCAATCAGGGAGACGTGACGCTCCAACTGAGGTCAGCTTTCCTTCCTCTCGACCAAGTCATCGCTCGGCCACCTCTCCTCCTCCATCCACACTCTCGGAATGCAAGGAACGCACGTCGCAGGAGCCGGTAGGCTGGCATGCGTAACACGTAGCCGAGCCATCGGAGCCTGGTGCGTGAAATAACGGTGCTGAGCGGTCCATTTCCTTTTCCTGTACCGTAATCAAGGCTTCTAACACGCTCGTTGCTCACGCGCTGTTCCCACCAGATGCGAGCTAAATGGCGAAGGCACCCGTGGTCGAAGGTAACTAGCCTCTTTATGTCCGCTTATCTAAGGGGCCATGTTTCGTAACCGTACAGTAGGGTCGAATGTACCGCTGCATTGTACACACTATGGCGCAGGAGTGATTTAGCACCGGCGCTATAGGTGGCGAAGAATAGAAAAAGCACCTCAAACTTTTGCTATACGGTTTGTGATCTCATCTTCGATCCCACGGGCGCTGATACAACTTCCAAGGTAGTTGAACTTTTGTACGACTTTTAGCTAATCCCCACCAAGGATCAGCGAAGGAGGCGGTCCGGGCCAATCTTGGAGGAACGCTTTGCACTTCGATGGTGCAAAGCAAAGCCCGAAGTAGCTGACAGGCAGTGCTGTCTGTCCAATGCCGCTTGGCACGTCTGGGAGCTGTCACAGATTAGGGTAATATTGTCTGTGTACTCCAACTCAAGAAGTCGTTCTCCTGGGAGCAAATCCACACCTTCAAAGTCGTGTCCTTTAAAGGCGATCTCCATGACTTCGTCAATAGCGAAGTTGAAGAGGAAAGGTGACAGAGGACATCCTTGTCTCACATCGCTGGAGATATTGAAGGGCGGTGACATCTTGCTGTAGGCCCTCACTCTGCCTGTGCTGCGCGCGTATAATGACTGGATAATATTTACATAGTTCTCAGGTACACCTTTCCTGAGTAGCCATTCCCAACGGGCACGTCAATCAACCGAATCGAAATAACCTTTGATACTGAAGTACACGACAGCGGTGTGCCGCCAATATATGTGACGGTGCTCCAACAACTGACGCAAAGTGAAGATGTGGTGAATGCAGTCACGACCTCGACGAAACCCGAATTGCTCTTCACGAATATGGCTTTCACCGTCGCTCGTTTGTCCGAAAGATTATAGAGGCAAGTGATTTGGCGGTGATGGGGACCAGACTGATTGCTCTATGGTTGCCGGATTCCAAACGCGAGCATCCTTTAAATATCGAAACGGTAACGGAGCGGTTGCGGTCGGTTAGGATAATTACTCGCTCCCACAGTTTCAGTAGTAACTCGTGGGAATCATCCACAAGAGCAGGTCCCCCGAATTTGAAGAGGGCTGGAGGTAGATCATCTGGTCCCGCGACTTTGTTCAGCTTCTACAGTGCGAACTCACGTGTGATTTCTGAGCGAGAGGGCGAATCCAAAGGGACAGCCCAGGGAGCGGGGTGATCACTGGTCATTGAAAAATCTAACAATTCCGGTCGATTAAGGTGCTTTTCAAAATGCTAAAGCTCCAAAGGTTTTGCAAAGTTTTGCATTGGCTGGATTATGACAGTAGGACTTGTGTGCATAAGGTTTTACTTTGATCTCTAAATATGAGCACATTACGCACCCGGTTGTGGTCATTCCACTCCCTTGTAACCCATTCTATGGATGTTACTACTAGCACCATTTATTGACACATTTTGACTATAACGGTGCGTTCTGTGCGTCCAAAAGAGGCACCATTCAAGAAGTTTTTGTAAAAAAGGGCACTTCCATATAGCGTTAACCACGAATGTTTTGCGCGTCATCCAGTTAGCGTCACACTAAGGATGATGTTCGCAATTCCAGATAAGAATGCTGGCTTGATGCCCGTGCTGGACAGTTTGTTTTACCTTTTCCCTTACCGGACTTGGCGACATCAGTTCATCTTTTTTGGCGTTCACGTAGAGATCGGATTTTTCCACTATCGTGTGCATATGCGATATACTTGCTGCGTTTATCTACTACAGCAACCTCCGGCAAATACAAGAGTAGACTAAAAAGTTCTCGGCCCGACCGAGAAGTAAATGCACGGGATGAAATGTAAGTTATTTTATAAATGTATTATATCTTGGAAGTATCAGTGCCAAGTCTCAAATTTCTATCTTTATTTGGGAACAGGTGATGATCCGTGGAATTGACTTTGGTTGGTTATTTTCAAAAAATGGACAAATTTGAAAGTCGAGCTGTGATCAAGTACCTACAGAAAAGGGTGTGACACGAAGAAAATCCCTACTAATATGGTTGAGATACTTGGTGAGGATTCCACTTATTATTCCACTGTTCAGAACTGCGTTGCGAATATAAAGACAGACAGAAAGAGCACTGAAGATGGGCCACGGTCTGGCTGCCCAAAATCTTCGACTTGTGGTGGTCAAATGGAAGCAATTCACCGAATGATAATGCATGTTAGAAGGTTGTCTTCTCAAATAGCTGAGACTATGGGTATCAGTTCATGCTGTTTTAACTAACATCCTGTAATAAGAAAGCTGACTACAAGATAGTTGCAAAGAATGTTGACACCCGGTTAGAATATTCTAGGCCAGTTTTGTCATGTTTCAAAAAAAGTCCTACAAAATTTTTCAAAACATTTGGTACCCAGGATGACACGGGCTCATCAAAAATTCGAAGTAAACGGTGAAAACACTGATTCTTCGCCACCAAAGAAATTCCTTTCAGTGACGTCCGCGCAGAAAGTGTCTTCTGAGGCAGTGTAATCATACTGGACTTCTTTTTGAGGCATCAGATCCTAGCAGGCGAGTACTACGCATCAAATTTATCCCAACTAAAACCAGCAGTTAAAGTAATACGTTGGGGAAGCTCAAAACAGTTCTTCTGCATGACAAGGCACCTGTTCACACTCTTCTAGTGTCTGCGTCAATAGAAGCCATATGTGGCTTCGAAGTGCTGTCATACCGCTTATTCACCAAATCTGGTCCCTTCAGCTTTTATCTGTTCCCTAAAATAAGATTTTACCTCCGGGGTCAGAGTTGTCGACGATGATTTGGCCAGTGTTGTGGGGCAGTCTTCGACCTTCCACAGAGGGATATCAGATCTTGAACACCGCTGGACCTAGTGCATTCAATTTGTGGGAGAGTATGTTGAAAAGCAATAAGGCATGACTTGGATAGCTGGCTTTCTATTTCGAGCCGAGAACATTTTAATTCATTTTTGTAGTTCACCAGCTGTGTAGTTCGAGTTAATCTCGTTCCAGCGAATGGTTCAGCGGCAGTGACGCCGGACCTTACTGGGGTGCCATGGTTTGTGTGCCTCAGTGATCCATTGAGCTATACTGGGTGGTGCTTTTGCACCTTCAGAGCCACTCATATCAGATTGGTCAATGGTTAGAGGCCAGACAAACTCAGTCTCCAGGTTGGGGGTTGGAATGAGGTGGCTCCTTATTCCTTAAAACGGACTCCTTGTAGCCCAACGCCAAACCCACTGCCTTGCGGTCAGGTTTTTGAACCAAAGGCTTTGCTTGAAAACACTAACTGTCCTCCTGTCTAGGCCTGTGCAACCTGACAGTATCGTGCCCACGCAATGCAATGAATTTCTCTTCAAACAGTTTCTTGGTGCTCTGGCCACCTCAGAGGATAATCAACAGTGCCCTATCTGCTGCATCGAGCATGGTGGATAGGGGTTTGGAGGCTACTGCTCAAGCCTTCCTATCTTCTTATTCCTCCTCTTACGCTTTTTCTCTCTTACCCTCCCGTTCCAGCTTCACTTTTATCCCTCCTGTTTTCAACCCTCAATTCTTGGCCATCTCCACCTTGCTTTTCTAGGCTTTTAACTTCTAGTTTCAACTCACATGTGAACGCGGAGCCTCATTCCTGTCCTGTCAACAAGCCCATGTCCAGCCAAGCGGCCAAGCCCAGTCCATCGACTTCCATTTGGAGCTTTCGATCATTCTTCAGATTGGCATGCCTCAGTGTACGCACAATGCTACAGATCGGTCAACAGGCAGCACTTGCCCGAACATTAGAGGCCCTCTCAGTCGATATCTGCTGCTTATGGGAGACCAGACTGCAAGACTCGAGCTCTGTACTCACTCTGCGATCCCCTTCAGATGACACTAGCAGCACTTTCTCATTGCGCCTATCCGGTGACATTGCAGCTTCGAGCACCAGACATGCTGGTGTTGAATTGCGCTGAGTCCCGGGCTGCAGTTGCTCTGATTGACTAGATTCCAATCAGTAGCCGGATGTGTGCGGTCCGATTGGCTGGCTCGTTCAATGCTTCGAAGTCGCTTGTGACTAACAGGTGTCTATTCGTTATCGCTGCCTATGTACCCACAAACTCTGGCGATGATTCTGGAAAAGATGACTTCTATCGCGAATTGAACGAGCTCCTTAGCAACAGAAGATGCTCGGACTTTTGTGCTGTCTGGGGACCTGAACGCTTAGATTAGAAAATTATCCACAGATGAGCTGCATCTGGGCGGCCAACATGGTGTAGGCTCCCTTAATGATAACATTGAGCGGTTACTTCATTTGTGAAGATGCTCGCTTATTTCTTGCAAGTTTTAATTTATAAATGGTCCTCGTAGCAACATCCATAGAATGGGTTACAAGGGAGTGGAGTTTCCACAACCGGGTGCGTAATGTGCTCATATTTAGAGATCAAAGTAAAACCTTATGCACACAAGTCCTACTGTCATAATCCAGCCAATGCA